GTCCTCCGGGCGATTTGGATATTTTTTTTACCTCCACTTGGCCGATGTGGTTGCCCTCGTCCGAGCTCGTTCTTGCGCGTAATGACTTCATTATACCACTCGGAAAGTCGGAAAGAAGCTTCGGGGGCCGTACGCAAAAACTGGCCGCGTATAACCCGACCCCGATCGAGACGTGCGCAAATTTCACGTGTTTTTATGAGCATACGAATTATTATAAGGTACGATCGAAATTGTTGTCGTAATTGTTTGTGTGATTATGCAATTATGTGCTCAGTTTTGTTATTTTTGAAACTGCTGGATTTTGGTTACCGTTGCAATTTGTATGTGCATGATTAAATAATCTTGGAAATATGTTTTTGAAAAATTCACAAAATATTAACAATGTCCAACAATATCTATAAATTGAAGTTTTTATATGTTAACATTTTGTTGAAATAATTAACCGTTATGTAATTAACGTATGAACTGTTACCCTCTTACTGGTTAAGTGCCAATTTACCGTCACGGGGGTCCTTCAATCGGCCCTCGATGTAATGACAGGCTCCCGTAAATTCTTTGAAGTATAACCATCGATTTTTTTAATTTCATTTTTCGTTTCGATGCTTGAATCGTTTTACATTCGCCCTGTAATTAGGTTCACCGTGTCTGTCGAGGCTCGTATTGTTTCGAAGAATCGGTAACTTTATATCGACAATCGTATGCAGATTCTCGTTTGAATTATTGTTTGTACTTCAATACTTTATTCTTCTAATACTAACTAACTAATCCTCAGTAAATATAACGACCATAAATAAGTTCAATTTCCTACCAAAGATGTAGACAAAACAGTTGAACAATTGTACACAATCATGTATACGCTTACAAAAGGATCATTAATCTGGTCGTAGCATATGTTTATCTCTATTCATCCGTTCAAAAGGTGCAATAAATACAGTGGGTTCACGTAGTGCAATTGAAACGTACACTACTTAATAAACGCCGGCATGCGACTATGTCGGCACACCAGCGCCCCGTGTGGCCGGCGCAAGCATCGCTTCGTGCTCGGTTTATCGATAACGCGGGAAAGCGTTGGTTACATCACTATTTCTTCTAATTTTCTAATAAGTTTACATTCTAAATTAATAAAGTCAGCAAAACCTTACTAGTTGCTTGTAACGCATTTGTTCGTTGAGATGTTGTTAAATGCTTTGCCTTTCTTCTTCAGGACTTATTGGTTGCAATTCATCTTTGTTAAGTACTTACTAGCTAATTATATATCCATTAGTTTCAATATCGGGATGAACGTTGACGCTGTAATTATTGCTCGTTTGTTCGCGTCAAGATTTAAAAATAAACTTGCCTTCGCGTATTCAGGGATAACAAGGGTGGTCAAAACCAGGTGTAATATTTTCTGTTGATTTATTATTTAATCTATACTCGTTAAACGTAGTTTGCCGAATTTTCTTTTTTATTGACGCTTTTTAGTCATCTTTAAACCCTTTTCTTGTTAGTGTATCTTTAGAGATACATCAGATTTTTTTTTATTATTTTTTCTAGACACCTTGGGTCATCAGGGTTAAGTGCTATGAATATTATTTTGTTATTCGAAAAAATAAAATTCTGCCAAGTTAAGTATTAACTTGTTCGAATCGATGTCACTAGTAATGTTTAATTGCAACGGTTTCTATTACACTTGCTTTTGATATCGCTAGTTAGTAATTTTGTCTCTTGAAATCAAATGAAAACCTTGGAATTCATATCACATGAACATAATTTAAAAGTAAGTAAAAACCAATCGATGTATTAAAATTCTCGTCTCAGAAATATATCGATAATCGATTACATTACGTGTGGTCGTGTGGCGCGATCGGACGCGTCGATATCTCGTGAAAATATGCCATTACAGAGCGCTATTTCTCTCGGGCCCCGCCATATTTACCTTGTCGAAACACACGATTTATAAGTTAATCTCATTCGCCTCGTGCATTGTATGGTGGGGCGATTAGTTGAGTTTTTATTGGTGTACCGAAGCTGATTTACTGCTCTATAATTGTCAAGTGGCCATGATAGATATTTATGACAGTAGACCAACGACTAGTTTTGTTAGTTACGATATGTGAGATATCGATACGTGAAACTGTAGATAATTAATATTGGAATTCAATCGTGATTATTGCTTAGGGTCATTTTATTTATTTGCTTGTTTAATGTAGCTCATTAAGGTATTGAGGCGACTGTTTAATGATTCGTTGATTAAAAATCAACGGATCTTTATCTTTTTTTAACTTTAGTGTTGTATTTATACCAGTTTTCGTTTCGGTTTTAATTTAGTGTAAGATTCTAATTAGTGTTTTATTAATGATATTATCAACTATGATTTGTCTATCAACTATCTGTTATGTTTATAAACTATACTTATGTGTTATTTCCGGTTCTTTCGGTTGGAAACATTTAAAAGTTGTGTTTTCGCCTTGTGCGTGTAGTACGGCGTGCCCCAATACATCACACTATCTTTGTATGGAGTTTCCTGTTTTTTCATCTTCAACATTGTATCAAAGTCCATCTTAGCTCTGTCATGCAAGTTATCTGAGAGTATGTCAAGGAATTCTTTAAGTAAGTTAATTTAAATCTCAGTCATAATACATAGATCACTTAGCTTAATTTACTAAGATCGTTAGTTTCTTTTTCTCTAGATGCCCTATTGCTGCAGATGCGATGTTACTGCCTTGATTACGTTCAGTATCAACTTCTTGCAATATATCCTTCATATTTTCCATATGAATCGTTAGTGGTGTTAACGATAAACTTATAGCGGTTTTTACATTTTAGCGTTTTATGATATTTTTTTAAACTTTTACTTTACGTTGTACGACTTCACTAAATCTTGTAATTATTTTTAATGTATTTTAGAGGTAACTGGTCTCCTTAACTTTTTATTCAAAGTGTTTTTTTTACTTAACTATGATAGTCCTTTATGGTAAGACCATATATTAATAATTACCTAGGTCTTAAGTAATACTTTATAGTAATTAAGTGGTTATAGGTAATCTTGTCTACTATTGTAGGATACAAATATCAAGTTTTTACATTGCGTATTTGTAAGCCATTTTAATGACCTCTAATGTCTTGTGACTTGCCACAAACCGCAAGCCAGGCGCAAGTCCGCATACAAGTCCCCTTAAACACTTATAAAGCATTGTGCTGGCAGTTAATTAACCCCCAGTAGATTTATTGCGTTCACTTGCGGCCGTGTCACTCGTGATATAGAGGGGTCGATATAAACCTGTTCTCGGTCAAAATCGATTTTCGGTATCGGGGTTAATTGACCGAAGTGTCTTTAAAGTTTTATTCTTTAAAGACGATGCATCGATTGTTTTATCGATGCTTAATTAAGTAGCTTCACTTTGCTTTTTGGTTACGTTAAATGTCATTTGCTCTGGTGTTTTAATCATTACGTAAAAGTTATAATAGAAATTTTAAAAGTGTATTGTAGCCTATGGAATGAGATTCTATAAATATAATAAAAAGTTGCCATTATAGGATAGGTTACAAATTGGCTTAATTGGTGTAATTAACAAGAATGTTAATTGTGGTTGAGTTCAAAGCTAAAAAGTTTCCATATTTAAACAAACAAGTTAATTGAGTGGTTAAAAATACCTTATCGAGTACACAATAATCAACCAATACGGTTAGCTAACTGTAGTGTTAACCTTTAGTGGCAAAAACGCCCAACACCACGCCATCTGATGGTAAAGGTGGTGGCACACCGGTGTCGGTAAGGCGGGGCACACACCGGACTTGTCTGATAATTAAAGAGGCCAGCGAATGATAAATAACGACCGTCCACGTTTTTACTGCAGATGTCATTATCTCGACCAACTCTATCAGCCGTTGCTTGATTATGGACGGGATGTCTATAGAGCTGCAACGACTCGCAATCGTTATTAAAACTTTTGGTCCAATACTTATAATACTTTTTATTTTTAACAGAAATATGTAAAAAGAAATGTTTACAACTATTAAATTTTAAAAAGTTACTGCGGTTTGCTGAAATACACACATGCTTATTACTTATTTACATTAATAGCGTTTTATGTAGTATTGCATTTATGTTAAAATTTTAACTTGATTTTCAATGAAAATGTATTTGTATTATGACTCAATTATTACATGAAAATTACTAGGACTCTAACTTAATATGGTCATGAAACTGTTTTCCTGTGTTGGCAGCTCTATGTTATATAAAAAGTCTTCGCGACAGCGTAGCGCATGAATAATCGAAAAGTCCAAGTTGATGAGAAGTGCGTGAGAGCTTTTTTGTCGTGACCGCGATGCGTGTGCGCAGCCTGCGCCCTCTAAAAAACCTTAAGAAACAAATAATTTATAATTGACCGTAAAAAATGTCACTCGAGGTGAGGCGTTAATTTGGAGACGTTTAATTGCATTGTATGTTTTATTAGGGGGTGTGTATATAATAAGCTTTCTTATTTCCTTTTATTTCTTATTTTAGTTGTTTTGAATCCGATAGCCTATCTATTTCTAGCAATCCACACCATATGTGTAACTTTATTTTCAGTCTTTCAAGCTTAATTTAAGTTATTAATACTCATATTGATTATTAAGCTTAAAGCTTATTAAAATGATTCTTATGAAAGTTGAATTATAACACCATTAAATTTAAATTGTAAATATCAAGATGGCAAAAGTGAAAACATAAATTATATGGTTGCGTCGATAAATAAAGGCGAGACCATCGCTCAAACACATTAAACATTCTGCGTATGGTAATGACAATTTTGGGTTGTATTTCACACGAAGGTAGTAACTGCCCATGCCAAACATATTATGCGTTAACAATAGCAATACTGCACTCTACTGTTGTGTCTCACTGCTCTACCCTCGTGTGATACTGGCATTAATCACCGACGCGATTCGTATTGACTGTTTTCTACACTTTTTGTCCGACAAAACAATCCATTGTTCAGAACTTATAATTATAAAGACATTATTTTTGTTTACAGATGTCGAAGCGGGCCGTATAGTATGGTAGGTTTATTTTTAATTGATTTTTTATCCTTTATCCAAAGGCTGTATTTTAATAAACTTACAACTCTTTTTGGATAAATTTGTTTTGTAAATAAAATAAAACTTTCTTCACTTAAAGCTGGCAGATAACAGTACTTTAAATGACATTTGCGATTCAAAATTCATAAATCAACAACACATCTCAATTTTAGTCCTCCAATTAGATTATTTACTCCCTTCTTGAACGATTAAAGAATTTTATTTACTGTTGTAACACATTTCCTGGTACTTGATTCATATGAACTTAGCTTATAGAATCGTAAACGCATTTGGTCTACTATGTTAATAAGATATAAATAGATGTTTAATTTATGTCTGTACGTGCGAAACAATTAGATCAGAGTCAAATCTCAAGAAGAATTCTTAATAAGGTTAGGTTATATTAAACAGTACGCGGAACGCATTTGTTTACATTGTTGCAGTACATGTTAAGTATCCAAAACAATGTCGCAATAGGGTTGTCCAATCTAAAATTACCTCATGAATTCTTAGACGAATGATAATAGTAAGTAACTAATAGCGCTGGGGGGAGAGTTCGGGGAGGTTTTATCTTGTTATATGTAAAAAATGTTTAAAATTACAGTAATGTTGATCTGAATGTTGGGCAGTAAAAGGGACGGATGAAAGGAGAATACATGTGGCGGAAATGCGAATGTTATGTATGCGGGTGTGGGGTTAACATGACTGGATAAGATACGAAATGAGTATATTAGAGAAAGTTTGAGAGTAGCCCCAGTGGTTGAGAGAATAAGGAGTTTTAGCGGTTATTGAGGATGTAGTTTCACCGTGGGGTGAAATAAACCACTATATAATAATAAAACAGTTTATTGTTTCACGTACACGGATACAAGTTAAGACGTACACGTAAACAATATAAACTAAGAAAACACGTAAACAAAATGGCGGGCGAGAGGGCAAACGAGCGAGGTGTCAGCACAGTGTAGCAGCGCGAGGCGACTGTTGGCCGGCCGGCGCGGCGCGGTGCATGATTTGCAGTTGCACGTTGTGCGTACGCGCCGCGGGCGGCGCTCTGCAGCGCGTTGAAATTATATAGTGTGAATGTGGAGTGTGCGTGTCTGTCTGTATGTATAAAGTTTTGCCATATAAAATATATAAATTGAAATGTGTTTGTGAGTTATGAATGTGATGTTATGTTGTGAGTTGTGAATGTTTATGTGAGTGAATGTAATGTAGTGTAATAAATAGATAGATAAATAAATAAATAAATAAATAGATAAGTACACTACAGAGTAAAAGGTTAGAGTGGTATGGGCATGTTATGAGAGGAGATGAATCGCATGTAACAAGACGGACGTTAGTTATGAATGTTAAGGGGAACACCGGTAGACATAGACCTAGAAAGAGATGGATGGATTGCGTGAAAGGTGACATGATCAAGAAGGGAGTGATGACTGAGATGTCGGATGATAGAGTGCTTTGGAGGACAAAAACCCGGTGGGCCGACACTACGGAAGTAGGATAAGGCAGGGAAGATGATGATGATATTGTATAGCAACTTTTGCTTAGGCAATAAATACAAGATAATAATAGTTTTTACTTTTATTTTCGTTTGTTTGGTGCCTAAATGCCAATCACATAATGTTGTGTTATAAAATAACTAACAAAATAATATAAACACTTTCTCTCTGAATGTATTGTTGGAATTCCTTTAAAAATATAACTTAATACCACAACTTGAAACAAAGTTAGCTTGTTTACTTCCCAACCCTCTTGCAGCATTTATTTTTAAGTTAGTACGCCCTCAACATTGTAAGACCTTACACCAGCCGTCCGTTAGTCACGCGCCTTCGAGTTTATTGTCGTGTTTACTAAATTCAGAGCAACCCTTTTCTTTAAGTTCAATACGACTGGGTATTTGCACTTTACTGACGTTGCATTGAGGTGTTGTAATTGTTTTGATTCAGGTCATTGCCCGTGGTTTTGCAATAAACAAACTTTTAAAAGAATAAACATCGTAACTCAGAAACTTAAGCCCGCTACATTTTCTACACATGCACAGTTTTAACTGAACACTTCGGTTAGAACTGTGAGAACTGAGCTATGTATCACGCTTTAATAAATCAAGTCTTCTTTCGTGAAATATTTTTAGTGTATTAGTTCTATAGAGGGTTATTCTTATTAATTATCTGTTTGGATAAAATCTTAGACAATGTATATTGAATGAATGAATTGTTAGTTAATTTAATAAGATATATTTTGTTGTCTAAACAAAACTGTCTGCTGTTTGAGATGTATCAAGTCTTCACTATTATAAACATTATAATATTACTGTCCCTTACGTTCTCTTCGAAAACAACAGAGATAGTGTATGTCTAGATAAAGTAGTTGAATAAACACATGTTAGTACTAGGTGACGTGACCTGCCTTAAATAACTGTCATTGAATTATATGTTTGTATGTTGACGGTCAATTCACAGTATTAGCGGACTATTCGCGATATTATACGAAGGCTTGAAAAGTATTACATTGTGTCAATGTATTGTGAACACGTAATACAATTGTTTATTATAAATTTGTTATTGAATATGTACATAAAGGGATTCCCTGTTTAGATTTGATTGCAAACAGTAGAGAATTATAGGAGTATGAAATTGCTAACAGGACCTATGAATGTATATGAGTTTGTAATTGTGACTAGTGTTTTTTAGTAAAAACACCTGAATTAAACACAAATCTTTTGAGACTGAACAGCGAAAACACTACGCATTTGCACAATATGTAAGCACTACGCATTAATACCAAACTGTCGCACTACGCTTTGTGGTCAAAAGTTTGTCGTATGTAGTACATTGTGCCGTCACGTACCATTAATAATCCTGTAAAATATTATCGTTCTAACATTCCTTTGATATTGATTAAATTGCCTACCATTTACACGAGTCTTAAAAGATGTAATAGAAAAAAGGATATGGTAAAGTGTGACGTTCGTTTTGGAAATGTGTTCCGTAGATTCTGACAAGGATCGTACACGGAAATTTTAATAATTAAAATATTATTAGTAACGTATTCCATCTATCTTTTCTATCTAGATGCGATATTTTTTTTTAATTTTGTACCGCAAGTTTATAAAAGCAATGTATATATGAGGTATGAAGATTGTTACCTTATACTAGACTTACCTATCACACCTTGAAACTCGTTTAATTCTCATGAAGTGCATAGGAATTAGTACCTTGATGAGTTCGAAGAACAACATGACTAGACTTCATGTAGAGATATCTGTTTCAATAGTAAGCAAACCTTACCTTATTTTAATTGTTATAACTTTACCTATCAAAATAAATTAAAAAGATACAAGTTTTATTATCTTTGAATTTACACAACGTTCGTCAAATTCCATCAAAATAACTAAACGTAAAGAACTTTAATACGTTGAAATTTTTTACAATTAGAAAATTATTCAGTTAACGGCCTGTCCCATAACTGGCTGATATAGGCTCAGATAGCTTAAAAATGACGTTACTGCCAGGTACGGAAACATAATCCGATATTTGCATTACATATTTTAAATGTTCGATCGTTGTCAGACAATTTACAATTTGGTGGGACTCTTACAATTATTTATTCAATGTAATTGTAGAATCAATACATTAAAAAGCACTGATTGCGCGACTTAAGGAACCCTAAAAAAGGAAGAAATAGTTCGTGGAGTACAATAAATGCAGTGTCGCCGTCGGTTTTTATCTCGATTCTAAGAAACGCAGTGTATGCTTGGGCATACCGATCCGTATGCTACCTGATTAAGGCGATGCTTCAACCTTTAAATGGCTAGTTATTTCTTGAATGCGTATAAATTATTGTTGGAATTCTTTTAGGTGCTAAGTTCTTTATTTAGTACATAACTTGAGACATATAAATTACATTAGCATTGTAATATCTTACTTATTCTTGGTCGATAGGATTTTTTTATATAAAAGACCTAATTCGGCTGTCATTACAACTGAAATACTGGATTGAAATTACAGCTTTTTAAATGATGTATGCGACATCTGCCGTTTGTTTTTGAGCCTAACCTTTTGAAGACGTAAAAATAGTATTTTCTTGATAACTATTTCACAACACTAATCTCATTATTAAGTTCGAAGAGACATAAAAACAATCTCTGTTTGTTTTAATTCAGCATTTTGCTGACCATACCAAACTATTGGAAGACTTCGTATAATGTAGAACTGCTTAGTTTAATTTTAACTTTAAAAGGCAATTTATCCATTGAAATGTCTTCTACTCACCGTCCCCTTAACCGCGGTCGTGTCCGCAACGCCTGCAGTATTATAATGTAAAATGTCGTGCAGCGTGAATCATTCTTTATTGGATTACATTATATTGGCCGGAGCCCTCAGCCGGGCAGTCGCCTGCCCTCGGCACTCCGACCTCCACAACTGGTAAACAGCACGGTTTATTGCCTTTTAAGTCTATGGAAACAGACATTAGGCTTTAGGTTATATATAAGCCTCACTAATACTATAGTTTATCTATCAATTAACTGGTTGATAAACATCAATGTTCTATGCTGGGTTTCTGAAGTTTCCACTTATTTCGTCATTCCCGAGCAATAATAAGTGTTAGATTGAACGCAGTTTCAACGGAGTAAAACTACTTCATGAATTTATCCTAAAGAATGGTTAATCGTAGCAGGGAAACCGGACATAAGTCTCAGGATTCCACTGCGAATCTATATAGAAATATATTGTTCTCTCTATTTTCTTAAACGGATTGAGAGAGAGAGAGAGAGTGTTTACATGTTTAATCCATCCAGATAGTGTCTGCACAATACCAGTCATTCGTATTAAGTAAAACTCCGAATCGACATTGCTTGTACTTATAGTACAATAGAAAAACCTTAATTATTATTAATAGCACTCAAGTCGAAACATGAGTTTGCGGTTAAAAGTGCTAGGCTTGTACTCGGTTAGGGAAAAAACAGGCAGGGTTAAGGGATC